ATGATCATATTCTGCTGAAAGAAAGCAAAAAAAAAAAATCATAAAACAAAAAAAAGAGGATAATGCAGGAAACCCCGTGGATCCTGTTCTAAGCCTGTCTCTTATACACATCTAGATGTGTATAAGAGACAGAATTGTAACTTACATGAGGTTGGTTCGATCACAATATCTCGATGTCGTCATGTTAAAAAAAAAAACAGAAAAAATTTGAAATTGGGGTGTAAGGAGGATTAAAAATTGAAGAAGAAAAGAGGGAAATAGGTGAGAAGGAGAAAAAGATTGAAGGCCCGGGGAGATGGGGAAAATGATGGGGTAGTAGTCAGGGGAGAGAAAGGGTAGAGGAAGGTGAGAGAATGAGAGATGAAGGGATGAGAAAGGTGTGCAGGTGTAGAAGAGGTTAGTAGAAGATGGTCAGTGGAGAGGAGAGGAGAGAAAAAAATGGTGGAAGATGAGTGAAGAGGGAGGTGGGAGAAGCGAGTAGTGGTAGAGTTAGAAAAGGTGGTGAGAAAGTGGAGGGGGGAGAGAGAGAGGGTGGGGTAGGAGAGTAGGTTAGTGGGGAGTGATTATACCAAGCTCTTGGTTCACCAAGAGCAACAAGATCACCAAGATCCACTGGATCTTGGCCTTCAAGATGCTGGCAACTTGCTGGTAGTGCAGAGAAAAATAAATAAATAATAGTGGGATAATCAAGGGTTGACTGAGATCTTGATCAGCCACCCCGATTGCACTGACGCGCAACCCTCTAGCCAGAGGGGTTTTCACTTCTGACAAATTGCTGGTGCAACAGTACAAAAAATAATAGCCACCATCATCATCATCATCGGGGTGGGCTGAGATCTTGATCAGCCACCAGATCTCCCTGTAGTGCAGCCCCCTAGCCTGGGGGTTCTTCACGCTTCACGGCAAGCTGCCACGTGGTACTGCAGATGGTCACGAGCGCAGCCAGCAGCGGCCAGGATGTCTCCCCGCCAGAAGGAGGGAGGGGGGGGGGGGGGGGGGGGGGGGGGGGGGGG